TTGGAACTGTCAGCCAATATTTTATTATTACTGATGGCATTAAACAAACGCCTGTCAGCACTCTGTAAAGTAGGAAAATTCAATAAGAAATACGTCATGACGTGAAGCGTCATTTTCATGGCTATTTGTTTATTTCTCATCAATACGCTGTTTAAGCTGCCTATTGAACCAATACTGGATGTTTGGTTGGTTAATTCGACAAGGTTGGGGTGGTTTGAGGCAGGCTGTTAGATCACTATGGAATAATGAGCTCTTTGACTGCTGTCCATGGTGCTGATCAGAGGCTGGTTTGGATGACAGTTTCATGGTGCTGCATTTTGACATAAATTGCCCACAAAGAAACTTATGTTGGTGCGTATTCAACCAACTTCCTAAAGATCAGAATTAGAATTAGAACTCAGACTTTTATTTATCACCAAATTTCAATAGCAAATTTCAATACTTTGCATTTATAATTGAATGTTTAAAATTATGTTATTTTCCATGTCAACAAAGTTTTATAAAATCCATATTCGCAATATGAATCAATTCTTACCAGAAAGTTGATTTGGCAATCAATTGAAAGCAAATACATTTAGTAGATTATCCTTCAATACTGAAACATGACTTAAAGCAGGAGACTCTTACATATTAAGAAATAAGCAGAAGTGCATTAACAAAATCCCTCATCAACATCCGATGGTCCCTAGTTAATGCAGCATCTGCACTTTTCAGAAGTTTCAGTTAAGTAGCTCTGTTTCATACAAGCCCTTTCTTTGTGAAACTATTGTACGTATTGTTGCCCACGTCAGCAAGGCATAGATCTGGTCACAACATGCCAACCTGACGATGTCTCTGGACCCGAGATTTCCACAATGTTTGATATAATGGCAGCAGTTTCCATGGAGATGGGATACTTAAGGGACAGTTGTATGGATTAATTTATGTCAGTCTACATCAAGCCAGAGCCACCATAGGCTTTATTTGGCATCACTGATATCCTCCTGACAGTTTCATACTTCCAGGTACCTCTTCTGACACTCCTTTTATAATTATGGAAGAGCTACAGACAGTCTATATAACAGCTTTACAAACACCTTTATAAAGAGTTCCCTAGTCCTTCAGATAGGATGTGGTGGGCGATGCTCGCCGCTTTCTACATGTTGCACTTCACGAAAGTATCTGCACTCGGCTGAAGTGCTTCGTCCCACCAGGAATATTCCTGCTTGACAGATTACCAGTTCTGCCCTGTACATACAGGCCATGAAGTATTTCACCTCCTTCAACTGCACCAAATGATTAACAGTGAACGAGTATTATAAGTGTATCATCATTACCAGTGTTTCTTTCCATCATTGTCTAAGGAGTTTAATATGCCTCCACCATTTCTCCTGAATACTGCATAATACAAAAACTAAATACAAATTAGTTGAGGTGGAGTTGAAGCCTGATATCCCTCAAGAACTGTGAATCATTTGTCTGCCAGTCTGCCATAATTAATTTTCTGCTGTGCCTAAGTGGCAAGTGTGTTCTGACGCAGCTGCACGAGGCCAAAAGATGAACTCAGATTCCCCCAAACAGCTGGTGTTTTCAATGGCTTTAAAGGCTTTATATGAGATTTTTCACACTTAAATATAATAGAAATCAAGTATATCCTCTGAAAATAACTCTGTGAGTCATGACTGTCTACAATGGGTGTAACACACGAGTCCCACTGTCTGTGATGTTTTCCGAGTTTTCCGAGTCCTATCTTCAGTTTGTTTACATCGCCAGGACGGCGGCTGACTCTGAATTCCTTTAAACAACCTTTATTCCTCACAAATAAAAGTTGTTTAATTGAGGGACTAGAGAAAAGAAGAATAACATACTGTACTCACTGCTTAACTGCGTTTCTAGATCACGGTCATTTTGTGTAAATTTACATGAAGTGTGAAATACCAGCATAATAAAGATCGCTAGCATTAGCATGCAAACACAACTATGCACCGCAAGTTGTTTTGGTTTCATGCTGGTGCTCAAGGGCGACATCTGCTGGATCAAAAAATTGCATATAAAGCCTTTAAGTACAAGCATAAGTATACATCAATCATTTTAAAAACAATAAAACTAAATCAAGGAAATTTACAATAATCTAGATTAAATAAATGGCAGAAGGAAAAAAAACCTTGGAAAAGAAAAAGAACTATGGGAACAGGTGAGGGTCAAACACTCTAGTTTTTGTGGTGTGTCCGGCTCCTTCGCTACCCATCAGCCCCGTCTGCCTTTTTTTGGCCGATTCAACATGAGAGAGAGGAATCTCTCTGATTGGATTTTCTCTTAATTTATCTCCAGCTGTCGACACAGGTTCGGGAAAGCCCCTTGAGCCTGCCACTGTAGTACATGCACTGTACATGCTTTCACCCATTTAGTGCGGTTTCTCCTTATTTGTTGCCTCCGCTTCTTCTTGTTTCTTTACTAAAAGACCATGGGCTAAAAAAAAACTTTAACTGCCATTTCCAACTTTTTCTCAAACATTATTCTCGATTAGTAGGCTGCCTACAATATGAGTGGTGCGCGACAGCTGAGTGAAAATGGTCTTCTTGTATCATAAGTTTTAAAAATGGACTACTGCTGCCTGCTGGCATGGAGAGTTATTTCCTCTCACCTATGCGCAGAACGTACGTGGTTGTTGGCCGTCGGCTATAGTATTTGTGGTGTGTTCTAGTGCAACTTTTTGGCCAAGGCGTGGGGCGACGCCACAGGCAGCCTTCGTCGCCACTAGTTCTTTGTTGTCTGCTTGGTATGTCAGGGCCTTTAGTGTCAACCAATTCCATTGGTCATCAGTGGCAAAATCTGGCTCTTAAATGCTCCATCTCACCCAGAGAAAATAAAAGTGTTCATTCAAACGTCTTTATACCAATCATGTAAGATTAAAATGTTAAATGTTATCTTTGTTGAGCTGACAAAAAACATGTAAATTGCCATTCCATAAAGTCACTGAGAGGCCTTATCTAGAGTGAGCACACCAAGAATGCATAACAATGATTCAGGTACAAGCCCATTGTGATGGAGGGACTTAAGGAAAGGAGATAGTAGATATTTGCTCTCTGTCTTGGTTAATAGAAGTGCTGCTGAATTCTGAATGAGAAGAAACTTCTTTATCGATTTCTTTAGTAGACCAGGAGGAGAGGCAAGACTGTTATTAATAAAAATAAAAGTATCAGTCTCTCACTAAATGCTTCATTTAGTCCATTTTCCTTGGTTTATAAAATGAGGTTTTAATGGGACTGAAAACTCCCAATCTTTGTTTGGTATCATAAAATGATATGACATCCACAATTTAATAAAACATGAATTGAAATAGTTCATCAACAAGAGTTGTTGGGAGATAAAGACATGTTTAGTTATGTGTAAACTGCAAATATAAAGAAATAAAAAATTAATCCAATGCAATCTTTGATTGTATTTTTTCATTGGACATATAAAAAGTTTGAACAACAGAGGCTCAAGAATGGAGCCTTGAGGGACCTTACTTGTTAAGCTGCTGTTAGCTCGGGAGATCTTTAGGTCTAATTCACAAAGCATATAGCGCTAATGATATTCAGGCGCAAACACACCTATAAAGTTGTCATGTCAGAGTTTGCTCTTGTTTTGCCTCTGCATGTGAATAGAAGCTTTCTGCACCATTAGGAGCTGCTCTCACATGCTGGAAAGGCCTCTTCAGTTCTACACTAACTGGTGGACGGAGCTAGAAAGTTAGCACATGAGAGTCGTTAGATGAGTCATTGAACGAGTTTCAACAAGAGTTGTTAACACTACCAGTCATCTGTGGGTTGTTCAGGTCACATGTTCCAAGTTGGGACTGGGGCTTCAGTGGGTTTTTTGACAGCATTGTAGGTTGTTGAAAGGTGTCTCAATGATGGTGTTTGAGACACCATCTAGCTAAATTTCTAGCTCCGTCCACCAGTTAGTTTTGAACTGAGGAAGCCTTTTGGAGGAGAGGTGAAACGTCTTCAAGATCTTTGAGCAAGTTCAGTTGCCTTCAAATTGACCACGACCTGGATGACAGAGAACCTACACAGACATTTTGTCCTCATTAATTCAACAATAATTTGTTCTTATTGACTGGTCCTTGTTGCCTCAAAGCTTAGCTTCTGCTACAAGGATTTTATCCTCCAAGGGCCATATAGTCATATCTCTAGATGCAACAGAGCAACATAGAGACAGAGAAAACATAGACAGAGTTTTTACGTTGCAACTGAAAATCTGAGACAAGTGTTTGGAAAATGAATGAAAGCCGCAGATTGTGGAAATGCATTTGTAACAAAGATACCTAAGCCTTCGATATCTGTCTCTCTTTACGGGAATATCTACTGCAGTCAAGAAATCTGACACACACACAATCAATATTTGACTCATCAGCAGATTGTGTTTCAGTTTGGCAATTGGATGCTCTGAGGTGGTTCACTCCCTGCAAAGCACTGCTGGAGCAGACGATATAATGACATAACAACCCAGAGAAAAGAGGAGAAGAGAGTGCATGTGCTTGTGTGTGTGTATGTGTAGTTTTGTGTGTGAGGGTTTACATGTATGTGTGTAACATTAAACAAGTATGAATGAGAGGGAGAGAAAGTGAGAGCGCACAAGATACTGCAGAAGAACAAGAGAGACACTCAGCTGATTGATTAAACAATAGGTGCTCATTATAAAGAGAAACTAGCCTGAGGTTTCATGTGGAGGGCAGGTGTGTGTGTGTGTGTGTGTGTGTGTGTGTGTGTGTGTGTGTGTGTGTGTGTGTGTGTGTGCGCGCGTACTGCCTTAAACCCTGCAGCCGAAAGAAAGATAAAGACAGAGCTGCTGGATAGAGATAGAAAGACACACAAAGCAGTGTTTCACTCACAGCAGTGCACTAACATGAAGTGGGAGTGTGGTTCTGGACCAGCAGCTATAAATAGCACATTGTGAAAACTAGGATAACACATTGGATTTCTGCAGATGACTTCTACACACACACACACACACACACACATGCACACTCTTACCTTTTTGGTGAAGTCCATGGCTTTGAGGATGGAAAGGTTGAGTGTCTCCAATGAGGCCAGCACTCCCTCATAATCTCCCATGTGCTTAGCAAAGTAGTCTGTACACGGACACAAAAAGACAAAGGAAAAGCACATAACATGATTTATAACACTTTGACAGTAAACGTGCAATTTCCTGTGCTTTGGGTAGAATATTTTTAAGAACCATTAAAGCATCTCAACTGAGAAGTTATCTTAATAGAGAGGGAGAATGAGGGCAGGAAAGTGTTTGTGAATGTTTGTTTATGTGGGTAAGTCCACTTACCACAGAGTTCCTTAGTATCAACATTACTATCACAGCGTAGCAGGAAAGCAGCAGAGGGAGAGAAAGGGAGGGAAGGTGGGAAGGTAAACAGGAAGAAAGGAAGGAAAAACACGGAGAAGAACAGGGTCAAAAACTAAGGAAAGGCTTTTTGCATGCAGTTTTTCTATCACACACAAACACACACACACACACACACACACACACACACACACACACACACACACACACACACACACACACACACACACACACACACACACACACACACACGCGCACACACACACACTAGAGTTTGGCAGAAAGGGATCGATCTAACAAGACTCTCTGACAGGAATCTGAATCAATCCACTTGCCATCATTCATGCTCAGTTCGCTGTGTAGAGACTCATTTGGCAGCAAATTCCTCACTGCCGTAAAGAACTCTTTCCTGGTTGACTGAGCAGGAGAGAAAGAGGAGAACAAGGCAACAGAGAAAGGGGCATCTGAGGGAATGGAAGAATGGAGGATGATGGGAGATCTGAGGACTGAAGGAGGAAAGACTCCATCTGCCCGTTCTGTTCATCCTAATCATAAACTAAAATGATGCACATTAATAGAAACATTAAGAGAACAAAGACACTAAGGTTTAGGAGACACTTCTTTATTGCATTACAGTCTGATTTGATAATGGCCAATTTATTGTTTTTGTTAAGCAGTCGTGTTCTTCAGATGTATATGTTCTGCCAGAATGAATCCTTGATCAAAATGTTAGGCAGATGGAATTCAAAACATGGACACCAAAAGTAATGAGTTTTCCACAACATTAAATGTGTGGTGTTTTTTTTTTTAAATGACATGTGCATTTTAAATTGGATTTGCTGATATTTGTCAATGTTGTTGTTGTTTGGTTGCCTAAAATAAAATACTGATTGTTCACAGTCCAAATGGCAGAAGCAGATTTTGTATTCTTACAAAGTAAGCAGTTATGTTCTCTATCCTGTTGGCTTAGCATGCGGATTGATCATCAATCAATGTTTCTTTAGTGCTGCTATTCCACTTGGCATTATTAAGCCTTAACTAATGTTAATTAATGTACCCACTTTAATGGACCGAGCATCAGCAGACTCAATCAGAATCAAAACACGACGAAGAGGCAAAATCAATACAAAGTGCTTCAACATCTCATTCAACTGTCTTGGCCAGACTATTATGATGGAAATTAGTAAAATGATGATTCAAAATGCTATGGTGGCAAGACATTGTAGTCAAATTACGTATTCAAATGCAATGGCAATTTAAAGCGCCTGATTGACAAGGTGAAGGTTAGAAAACTCGTAAGGTGCAGGGGGAAATAAACCAAAAATCAATGTACGTTACTTTATATTGATGCTTAAGTAACTGACAATATGTGGGTTATGAATATAGACAATTGATTTTCCATTGGCATCGTTTCTGTAATGTTGACACAATTTAATCCTATCATGCAAACTGCCACACAATGCAGGGGTAAGAAGTCATCATCATTTGGCCAAGTAGAAGCAATGATGGCAGAAGAGGCAGCCCGCTGAGTCTATTTTCAACGCATAATTCATGCTGAACAGGGCAGATCGACACGGACAGGAAGTAAGACACGAGAATAGAGTATTCAGTCAATATACAATATATCACCATGACAGAGTCCGGATTGTATATCCTATCACTATATCAACATTATGTCCGAACAGTCACCAAGCAGCAAATCAACCATGACAAGATAAGAAACTGGTTGTTTGTATGTTGCTTTCATTATTTCTATGTAGTCTTCTGAAGTTCTACTGTGATTTGGGGAACTTGCAAAATCCAGCTGCTCATGGCTGCACTCTGATGTGCCACACTTCAGAACTTCTTCCAGTATGGTAGGGTTAGAGCTGTCGGACGGAGCAAAACCACGCCACAGACAGTTGCTGTGAGGTCTCAGGGTAAAGTTTGCCGCATTGACTAGAAGCAAAGTCAAACTTTTAGGTATTAAAAGAACCAAAAATGTCAGTCTTTCACCTGAGATGTCATGTTTTGACCGCCTCCAGCACCATTTCAGGATTGAGAGGGGATGAAGAGAGGAGAATGGTGATGGACAGAGTGACAAGATGGAAGGCAGAAGAGCCGGGGCTGAAAAAAGTCTGAAAGGGAAGCTGGAGATGAAAAAGGAACGAGAGACTGACAGAGACAGATCTGACAAATGACTGAAAGCAGGAGAGCGCTCAGTCTCTGCCTGCTCCCTCCCTCCTCTCCATTTATCAACTTCCTGCTTCAACAGGAAACACTTACACCGTCGTTTCGTCTTTGGCTTGGGCCAATCAATAACCTTATCTGCTGTCACATGATAATGCTGAGACCTGGCATGCATCCGCCAAGTCTACTTAACTCTAATGAATAGAACTTTTCAGACTGCATGCACTGCAGTGAATGAGATTTATGAAGTGTGGACCATCTGCAGGCGGCGAGGTGGCTGATAAAGAGTCGGTGGGGGCTGCATGGTCCACATACTGCACTGAGTTAAAAATAAATAATCCCTGCTAATGGTTGAGCATGGATTTATACATCAAACCTCATTGGATTGTACAACAATGATAAAGGTCAGCTTTTGTTCCGCGTGGCTTCATTTTATTTCAAGGCCCTGCAGGTTTCTGAAGAGTGTAAATTAACAGGGCATGCCTTTTGATCACTTACATCCCACTGTGTCAGCAAAATTCTACTGATTGCTGGCTGGATGAGCTGATTGGCTGATTAAAGAGGGTCAATACAGTGATTTTAGAAGAGCCAATCAAAGCAGAATGATCCAGGGAGCAGCAGTTAAGAAAGGGTTAATATCCTGCAGAGTAATAATGACTAATGGTAAAATAGATGATAGAAGCAAGAGGAAGAGAAGCTGACAGCTGTAAAAACAGGTTATGTTGAGCTTGCTCAGTTTTTCATCCTTTTATGTTTTTGTCACAAATGTGTTTTTGTGTCCTCTTCCTTTATTGTTTTTTTGTCATTATATATTGAAAATGTACAAAGGTCCTCCATTAAAAGAGCTGTCAGTACTCGATGTGACATTTTCTGGCAGAAGAATAAATGGCATATACTTTACCTAAGCAAGCTCACACACACACACACACACACACACACACACACACACACACACACACACACACACACACACACACACACACGCACACACTGACATAAAAATCCAAAAGTGATACTGAGGCTGTGCACCAGTAGAAAAGCTCTGTGCATCGCTCGTCTTTATCATTATTTTGACAGTGAGATGATAAACACAAAGACAAACACATTACAATAAGTACTGTAGTCCTTTCATATAATGCAGCTACACAGCCGTGTTGCACACTCGGCAAACAAGCACACACAACTGGTGTAGAATTGCTGACCTGGTGTTATCAGAGTCGATGGTGAAACAGCTTCTCCAGCTCTTCCTCGTTCAGCGTGCCATCAGAGAAGAAAGCCTGGAACTCATCCAGAGACAGCTTACCATCATCTGCAGGAGACACAAAACACACACACACACACACATTATTGTGATACTGTTTGTAATATGAAGCATCATAACAATAACACAGTCAAAGGTCTTTCCATTCATGCCAGAAAATCATAGCCCGTATAAAACATTGGACTTAGTCTCGTCAAAGCATTTTGAAGACCAACAATGGTGGTCGCCATATTGGAAATGCTATCACAACCTACCGTTACATCAATCTAGAAACAGGTAGGTGGAACTGAGGCAGGCCTTAAGCTTCCTGGCAAACAGCTGCGATGCATCCGTCTGTCAGTCAACTTAGCCACGCATTTGGCAAATGTATGAATTACTCTTAGGCTATGAGACCAGAGAGTGAGAAATACCCCCCTCATACAGTTTGTACCAATAAAGTCATGAGCAATTGCCACCTCATGTGGGTTTTTTTTTTTTACCTCACTGTCAACATGTTTATTTCTACTAAAAAGAAAAAGAACATTTAAATAATGGACCAGCCCCGTCTCAAGTGGACACTCGAGAAACTGGGTATCAAAGAAACTCACATTGGTTTCTTTTTTCAACCTTGAAGGTTGCCCCAAATCGAAGAGACTTGAGCCTGACTTGAGTTTGAGTCATTGGACTTAAGTCAAGCCCCTCACCATATAAGGACATTTTTAATTTTTATTGAATTAAAATTCTAAAGGGAAGTGCAATTATGAATTGGAATTATACCGTCCTGTTTCTCAGAGAGCATAATGAGACCCACACAATGATGGGGAGAAACTCCAATCTGAGCAGCTGTGCGTAGCTAATGTGTTGTAAAGTATGACCTGAGTCATTGAAGCATATCAAAACAGTTAAACCTCATTTTGATAGCAGGGTTTCTAGAAAGAAAATAAGAATGAACTGTTAGTCCCATCTCATGAATAATATAATGTGTGATTAAAGTATTGTCATGCATTATGAAACTCATTAGAAAGACCAAATTTGAACTTCCTCTTTTTAATAAAGATGGCTCCAACTTTAAGCAGAGGCTTGTTCTTCGCTCATTTCAATTGTGTTTCAGTGTTTTGCAAATGAATGTTTTTGCATGATGAGTGTATTTTTTAAATACAGTAGTTAAAGTCATCTGGTCAGAGCTGGTCGGTCCTCAACATAAGATTAGAGCATCAGCAATTGTTGGACTGCTCTGACATTTTGTGTAGACATGTACAGTAGCCCTTTAGGATGACTTTTGAAACCTTGGTGATCTCTGAATGTTCTTATTACACGATCACTCAAAGATTAAAATGTCATTTCAGTGGGTCCAATACTTGAATTCATGACTAAAAACTTTCAAATCAAACAGTGGGCCTATTTCTAAGAATCTCAGCTTTACTTTGTGTGTAGGTGCAGTTAGCACATGTTAGAGCGCTAGAAAGCTAAACTAAGATGGTGAACCTGGGAACATTGTATCTGCTGTGCAGCATGTTAATAGTGCAACTGTGTTCATGTTAGCACAGCGACGTTAGCATTAACATTAAGGCACTGCTGCACTTTTCAAGTATAGCATCACAGAGCTGCTGCTCTGACTGTAGAGTATTGGGCTCTTATATAGAGCTCTTAAAGGAAATAACTTGACATTTCTCTGATTTGTACGTTTACAGCAAATCCAATTTCTACGCTCCAGTCAGTAAAATTATAATGAGGATTCTAATTCTTGTGAAATCTTGACGTTTAATATCTGTAAGCCTTGCTGCAGTTTGTTCCCACCTGCACAAACACACATGCTCAGTGTGATCCCTGCCTTCAGTGCTTTCTCATGCTGCTGTGAAATCAATCCGGCATGCACTTCAGTCTGCTACAAACCTTTAGCTGTATCCCTGCTGTCTGCTTGTCTCTGCACTTTGGTAAACACACAATACCGATTAGATATTAAAACCCTTGACGCCTTGTGGGAAGCATTGGCAACTACGTATTGCCATCAAGATGCTGGATTAATGCTCTAATTATTTAACCTTCTAATTAAAAAAAACATATTTAAATGTTATGCTGGGTTACTGTTTAAAATGTACAATATTTGCCATTTGAAAAAAATGCAAATAATGATGATCAAATAATGAGTTTGGCCAAGAAGGAGAATTTAATCATCAATAAGTGAGGTTTTGATCTAGATTCAAACTGTTCTCCAGAAACTTACTGTTTACAATAAATTCAACCAACAAAAACAGGCTCCTTCTTTTGCTCTCTAATTATGTTGCAGTGAGTTTCTTTGTGGTAGGGTGGTGGCTCTGCAGCAGGGAGTGGTTATTCGTGGCTTTTACTCCATCCTGTATCTATTTGCTCGTACGCCTGACTGTCTGTCTCACCACATGATGCAGAGCTAGATATCAAATATTAATTCCCTTGCCCTCAAAGTGTGTTTGTCCTTGAGTGTGGCTGACTGGATACAGCAGGTTGAGCTATGGGACCACTGCAGAGCACTGGTGAATCGCCGAGACAGGAGAGTGCAGCATTACAAAAGGCTGAATTCAAATGTGCATGCTCTTTAGTCAACCTCGTCGGATTCCTCTGCTGCTGCTACTCAGTTGCAGGATTGAATCTTGTTCATACATTTCTAATTTTGCCATCAACCATGTTTTGGTTTTCCATGCACTTTTCTTATTTATGCTGCCACTTCACTTTGACCTCCTCACATACCAGTGCAGCAGAAGTGTCTCTGACACTCATCCAGCAGGAGACAGCCAGCCCTGATCTCTGGCTTGATTTTCAAGCACTACGGAGACAGGACCTAGTATGGAACAGACTAACAAACTGAGAAAAAAGAAACACAAATATGGCCAGCCTCACTCTATTTAGCTCTCCTCTTTCCCCCCTCCAACTCATTTTATACCCTTCTCCTTATTAGTCTCACCATATCTTTTATTCGTTCTGTCTTCTTGCTGCTTTTTAGAGGAACTCATAGCAGAAATTGGCTTTCACATGATTTCTGCATTATACAATGAATTCAAGTGAGGCATGTCTTCACAAACAGCATCCTTTTGGTAACACTTGGCATAACCTTTATTATGCCAGAAGGCATATTATGTGTTTGAAGCCGACTTCTGAAATGCCACTTCTTGTGTTCACAAGTCTCCACCTCTCCCTGTCCACCCGGGCTCCACTGTTTACTTGGACTCTGTGGCCATTACTATTTCTAACCTGCCCTTCTCTGGCGCAGCACTGAAGCAGCACTGAAGCAGCACTGAAAGCAGACGCACTGGTGTTTAATTCAGCAGTGACCCATTTACTGCATTCAGCCTGGTTAGACCCACTAAGGAATTTACCAGTAACACACCAGAAAAGCAAAGACAACACACCAGCTGGGCAGATAACTCACTAACCCCATTTTCCTTAGGCTTGTCAATTTACACATCCTACAAAAAACAGCCAAAATCAATAAATAACCATCAACTTTAAACACTGTCAGGCACTCAAATATGTTTTCTTTTTGTAACATGATGTCCTCCCACATATGAAGTAATGTAATGTCCAAATGTCTGTTCATCATTGGAGAATAACCTGTTTGCATTCATTAAAGTTATAGGACAGTATCCAGCAGTAGTATCCAGAAAATATTTCAGCAGCTTCCAATTATGTAAAGCTTGATCCTTAAGACCAAATCTCTTTAACTACAGCCCTGACAACCGACCACACACATCTCATACATGATGCAACAGCCAAGAGCATCCTGTCTTCTTCAGATGAGACAACAGAGCGAGAGGGGACAAAGTGTCTTTTTTTCTTTCAAATAGAGTACTGCCTTGTCCTCCCCTGCTGTGATGTGATTTGTAAGTGCGGTGACAGGACAAAAGTTCAAAAACAAGACTTTCACACTTTTCCAGAGTGCTGTTGTGTCTGCCCCGCAAATTACTGTCAAGCTTGACTAAATAATTTAACCTTGACAATGACCGCTTCCTGACTTAATTTAATACTATCGGAGCCTAAACCTACTGTAACTAAGTATGCTGTTAATGTTGTGAAGTTTGCCTTTTGGTTAATTTCACCAACCGTACTTGTTAAGGTTTCATGGTTTGAAAAAGCAACAAGTCATCACAGACTTGACCCAACATCGACTGAAGACAAAAACTGAACAACTGAAACAGCTTACTAAAAAAATCAAACATTGAGGTAACCACTACCAATCAAACATAGCATCCCAGGAAGAGATCAGGACACTATGTGAAAAAGCTTTTTTTGGCAGACATGAATAGATTCTAAACAGTGGCAAAATGTATTAATTACATCAACAATATGTAATTGTTCCACCCTAAAATCAATCGTATTGTGCAATAACTGTCAACTGGGAGAACGTTGTCCATCCTATTCCTCAGAGCCCCCTGGTTGCATGCTATAGGAACTATGTAAGTTTGGCAGCCAGGGTTCTGAGAAGCTGAGAAGAGAAAATGAGTAAATATTCCTTCAGATATTATTCATAACAGACTTTGAAGCATTGTAAGGCTGTAACATTGTTTCATCTTCAGCAGCTTCACCGGGGCAGGAAAGTCATCTAACCCAAGTCATGTCTCAGGCTTGCATACATATATCCATCTTTTGCCAAAAGTTGTCCCTACAACGGGCTGTAGCAGAGTCATATTTGTGCAAAATCCTGTAATATTACTGTACTTTGCCAGTTGACATGGGCTCTGGATTCTCACAACACCACCCTATGCTTGTCAACGAATGGAAATTGTCTATGAGGAAGAGGAGCGACGTGTTTTTTTACATCAGTGCTTTTACACTAAGAGAACTCCGGTAGGCGCCAAACTTCACTTAAGTGAATTCCTACATAATGTTGCTAAAAATGGAAGATGGATTTAATTGCCTGGTCACTATAGGGGCAGTTTTCTCCTCTGTTTCCAATATTTTTGCATAAAGTATTATTATCTTACGTGCTTATTTAACTCATTAACTCAAGAAAGAAAATAAGTGTACTTGGAGGCAGGTGTTGTTTCCACAGCGATTACTTTCCACAATTCATTCCTCAGCTGAAAACACAAGCAATG